GAGAAAAACTCCCCGCCTCTGTCAGTGTGGAGACGCAGAACAGGAAAGTCGGAGCCGAAACTCTCTCTGAGCCGGAGACGAGCTGCGCGGATCCAGTCAATCAACACCTCAGTGACGTCACCCTTGCTGCGCAAGGGGAAGACTGTGGTGTAACACGAGTACTCGTCAACCACCAACAAGAAGTAACGCTCGTGCCCCTGGCCACGGACGCGGGCGGGGCCCCACACGTCCATGTGAAGAGTCTGCAGCGGAGCCTCTGTCGGAGGAAACTCGGAGGAGTGAGGGGCGGCGCGCTGTCGCCCCTCGACGCAGGGGACGCAGGTAGGGGCAGGCCCCGGAGGTAGGGGAGGGAGAGATCAGGGGAGACCAGAGACAAGGACACGCGAGGCCATGCCTCGGAGACGAGGCAGGGAGGGGTGACCAAGGCGGTGGTGCCAAAGGAGAGTCTAGTGGGACAAGAGACGACACGAGCAGGGAGCACACTCAGGACCAGACCTGGACGCTGCAGCGAACACTTGACTCGACGCAACTACCTGACCAGACTCAGCAGCCGGAGGAGACTCAATAGTAAGTGTGTACAGGCTCGACCCCGGCCGACGGGTGAACGTGGCCAAGTGTCGGCCTGTCCGAGCACACGTGCAGTGGGTCACCCGCTGACTCGCAGGTGTGAACTGGCCAACCCCACTATCCTGTAGATCAGCTCCACTCACCAAGTCCATAGAGAACGAGGGGAGGTAGAGGCCTGACAGGGTGCCAGAGGAGCTAGCAATTACAGGACCCCCAGAGGGATCCGCCAAGGAGACCGCAACCGGCCGACTAAGCAGCGTAAGCGTGGTGCGGTCTCGAAAGAAGGAGCGGGAAGCACCCGAGTCAAGGGTGATGGTGTGTAAGGCCTGAGCCGACGTAGTACCCGAGAGAGCAGACTCACCAGCACCTGGGGCAGCAGACGCACTAGCACCTAGAGCAGCAGCCTCACCTGCACCTAGAGCAGCAGCCTTAATGCCCGGGTCAGGAGGAACATACAGGTAACAGTCACCCTCAACACTATCAGACACAGCATACATGGCAGCAAGAATATTATCATAATCAAGATCAAAGATAGCAACCCCCGCCTTTGACAGCTCTCCCGAGCAAAGGATCTCAGAGGCCTCAGGGAACTGGTGACGCCACGCGTCTGTCAGGCGGCCGAAGCAGCGCTGAGTGGAGTGCGGGCCCCCGCACTGCTCACCAGCGCGGTCGTCGGTACGGAGGACGTAGGTGCAGGGACCAGTACCCCCACTGCGCTGACGCGCAGCGTACCACTCACGAAGCTGCTGAGGGGACAGGGTCTCACGACTGCGCTGCTGCTGCTGGCGCGGACCACCACCGGACCCACTCCTCTGCGCAGAGCCGCGACCAGCTCCACTGCTGCCGCCGCCGCCTCCGCCACCTCCGCCGCCCCCGCCACCTCCGCCGCCTCCGCCGCCTCCGCTCCCGCCACCACCGCCGCTGCCTCCTCCGCCCCCACTGCTGCCACCGACACCTCCACCCCCGCCACCACTCCCACCACCACCCCCACCCCCACCACCACCTCCACCGCCCCCACCAGCCCCTCCAGCGCCCTTGCCCCCCTTGCCCTTGCTGGTGCGGCCTCTCCCGCTAGGGGCAGACGCAGCGCCGACCGACTCGAAACCAACGAGGTCGGCCGCAGCAGCAGAGGGCAAGAGGGGGGAGGGGGAACACCCCTCAAAGACGGGGGTGTGAGGGTCACCACGAGAGGCTCCTACAGCGAGTATGCTCTTCTCTGCTGCTAGGAGGGCCTTCTCGAGGAGGTCAACGGTGAGAGTGGTGGGGCAAACTGAGAGGAAGTGGTCCCTGACTAAGCGAAGGGAGTCAGGGAGCTGGGTGACTATGTGGTAGAGGGTGATGTACATGGGGTGGGGGGTTCTTGGCACAGAACTCAGGAGGAAGCGCAACGTGGTAGCGAGTGTCACTAGTGCGAAGGTGCGTAATGAGGTCAGCAACTGTGGGAAAGGCAGCAAGGTCAGGGTTTTGCAGGTACGGCAGCATGAGGCGGCTAAGCGCAGTAGTGGCAGGGGAGGAGTAGCGTGCAACTACAGCATCGTACAAGGTCTTAGCACTCTTGAACTGGCTAAAGTGCGCACGCTCAGTGGTCGGTAAGTGGCGACACACAGCAAGGCGGGCAGCAGCATCGCGTGTGGCCCACTGTGAGCGAACAGTGTTGTGAGCAGTAGCAGGAGGGGCAGGAGAGGCACCAGAGGTGAGATCGAACAGGGAGAGTCCGTCTGCCTTATCGCACTGTAGGAACAGCTGGAGGTCATTGACCCAGACTTCAAAGTCAACAGCACGACCCTCAGCATCAAAGGTTAGGACACTGGGGGTAGCCATAACTGTAGTGGTCTAGCAAGGAGTGAGCTCACCAGTCCGAGTAAGTAGGGCCGGGGCGCGCCGGTAGGAACAGTAGTGGCTCGACGGCAGGGCGGCTCGGCAGCTCGGCTGATGGGCGGCTCGGCGGCTCGGCGGCTCGGCTGCTGGGCGGCTCGGCGGCTCGGCTGATGTGCGGCTCGGCTGCTCGGCGGCTCGGCGGCTCGGTTGCTGGGCGGCTCGGCTGCTGGGCAGCTCGGCTGCTGGGCGGTTCGGCTGCTCGGCTGCTGGGCGGCTCAGCGGTGAAGGGGCTGGTAGAGGCGGCGACGGGGCCGGTAGAGGCGGTGACGGGGCCGGTAGAGGTGGCGATGGGGCCGCTAGGGGCGGCGACGGGGCCGCTATGTGCGGCGAGGTGGCCGCGAAGGGGCGGCGACGGGGCCGCTAGGGGCGGCGACGGGGCCGCAGAGGGGCCGCAAGGGGCCTAGAGGGGCGGCGACGAGGCCGCGAAGGGGCCGTAAGGGTCCTAGAGGGGGCGGCGACGGGGCCGCAAGTGGCGGCGACGGGGCCGCGAAGGGGTCGCGAGGGGCCTAGAGGGGCGGCGACGGGGCCGCTAGGGGCGGCGACGGGGCCGTGAAGGGGCCGCGAGGGGCCTATAGAGGCGGCGACGGGGCCTAGAGCGGCGGCGACTGGGCCGTGAAGGGGCCGTGAGGGGCCTAGAGCGGCGGCGGCGGGGCCTAGAGCGGCGGCGACAGGGGCCGTGAAGGGGCTGCGAGGGGCCTAGAGCGGCGGCGACGGGGCCTAGAGCGGCGGCGACGGGGCCGTAAAGGGGCCGCGAGGGGCCTAGAGCGGCGGCGACGGGGCCTAGAGCGGCGGCGCCGGCGCCGTGAATGGGCCGCGAGGGGCCTAGAGTGGTGGCGACAGGGTCGCTGAGGACGATGACGGGGCCGCTAAGGGTGGCGCGAGGGGCCTCTAGGAGGGCGCGACGTGAGGGCGGCCTACGGGGCGCGCCCCGGGCAGAAAAAAAAAGGTCGAGTTCAGTGGTGGTCCCTGAGAAGCGTTCCCACGAGGGAACCTGCTCTATACCATGTGAAGAATGAGGAATGAATGAACTAGCACAAAGTTGGGTACAAGTAGGAAACTCTAGGAAACTGTACCCCATAGTGTCTACCCCACTATAGCCTAGATAAGCTATATGATATAAGTTTGACACACGCGAGTTTCGAATTGGAGACCTTTCGATTCAAGTGTCCCGAAAGGGTCTTGTCAGGACAGATTGGGGACATTTCGGGGACAGATTGGGGAGAGTTTGGCAAAATCGGTCTCGGGTCGCATTCAGTTTGAAACTTGGCAGTGAAGTGTCGAAGTCAACAGAATTCTCACGGGAGTTACAGTCGATGGTCGACAGAAATCTGGTCGCGGAAATTATCGTCTACCTAATTCCAGTCAATGGAATTTGCTCGGCGAAATTCAAGGCTCGAAATTTTGCGTCGACGAAATTCAACGTGCGACTCGGGTCGACACTTTTTGTGTGCTTTGTTTTTGTATTGCATCCTAGTATAAAACCAGAGAGCACAAACCAGAAATTAACCAAGTCATTATCGCTACTATGTTTGTGTATATCTCTGGCTATAGTGGACCGTTTCCTGCAATCTTTGGTGCGTTGGAATCGTGCTTTCAAGCTCTATCAAGTTGCTATAGTACTGGAATTCTACATGGTATCAGAGCGAGGTTATCTGCGTCGATCCAATCAGCAGCTTGACTCCGTCCTCGCGTCACGTTGTTCCTACGTTGGAGTGGCCGACGCTCATTTTGACCACGGATGGAGTGGTTAATGAGCGCCGAGGACCTGAATGCCCGTCACGAGCTGGAGGCATCCATTCGTGAGCACCATCCCTATTGCATGATGAGGAGAACGACCTCATTGTGGACGGTCGTCGACTACACATGGTTCGGGAGCGCGCGGCGGAGCAACCACCGGCGGGCGGTTAGCAAGGAGGAACTGGTGAGGGAGGAGCTGAGCACGAGGCTCCCGGTGCCATGGGCACTGACGGAGGAGCTATTGCACCGACCATTGACACGGGATTGATTGGCACAAGCTACTGTTAATTCAAGTTTGGAGTTGAGCATATCTCCGTGACGCCGCTGCTGGTGGGAAGGCACGACCTTATTGGGTGGGTCAGCGCCGTCCAACCTCAGCTCCTGATTTGTGGCAGTTTTGCAATGGGACAACACCAAGCCCGGCCCCGAACAACCCCTTGCAACGAAGGGAGTACGCAAAGGGCCAAATGCTTGCATTCATGGTGCTGAAGCGCTGTGTTTCTCCACCCATCCGAATGTCTATCTCTGGTTTCTCTCAGCAAGAGAAAGTCGGACAGCTAGCATGGGCATATATCTTGTCTACTTATTAAGCATGTGATGCCCTCCACGCTTCCGTATTTCAGACCCAGTTAGCCCAACTCAGGAAGGGAGATGATGAGACGGCGGAATCCTACTGCAATAGGGCCCGTACCATCCGAGCAGAGCGGCTGACCATTGGACAGGAGGTCCACATGGCCACGTTTGCCGCTCACGTGCTGAAGGGCCTGCCATCGAAGCACGGATTTCTTCGTCGTAAGCTCGACATTTCCAGCCCTGAGATGATGATGAAACACGTGTGCAGCGAGGTGTTGATAAAGGAGCAGACTCTCTCCATCGAACAGAGTTACAGGCAGATCACCAGCGATACATATGCTTTCTCGGGCGCTGTCAACACCGTCGTGGCTACAACGGGGGTCAATGGGAAGGAAGGGAAAGGAGGAAGGGAGAAGATGGACAAGAAAAAGGATGGCAAGCAGGAGAAGAAGCGAGCCCCCTTCAAGGGGCACTGCTACATCTGCAGTGGGGAGGGGTACATGGCTGCCAACTGCCCCAACAAGAAGGAGGATACAACGCCCGCGGCAGCCGCGAACGTAGCTGAAGGAGATGGGAAGGGCGTGGCGCTCACCGTCGCGTGTTCGGCTGCAAAGTTTCTGGCCAACGACAAGGACTTGTGGTTCCTTGACTCGGGATGCTCCCAACACATGACCGGCCGCAAGGAGTGGTTCACAGTGATTTGTGTCCCATCTGCAAAGAAATCCAACAAAGGGTTTGATGGTTCTATGTAGGAAGTCGCCGGTGTTGGTGAGATTTTGCTGGAGGGCACTAACGGCCTGCGTGTGACCCTGCATGATGTCCTCTTTGTGCAAGGAATGAAAGCCAACTTGGTCTCCCCTGGGCAGCTCACGGATAAAGGAGAAAATCTGCGAACCGAACAAGGTGTCACCCGCATCATCGCATCGGGAGGACAAGTGGTTGCAACGGCACGCCACTGCCATCGTCTTCTCTGCCTTGACCTGAAACCGTGGCCAGCAAGCAATGGCACAACGGCTGCAGCGGCATGCAACGGGACGGTGGCTGCATCGGTTTGCAACGGCACGACGGCTGGAGCGGCATGCAACGGCACGGTGGCTGCAGCGGCATGCAACGGCACAGCGGCTAGAGCGGCATGCAACGACACGGTGGCTGCAGTGACATGCAATGGCATGACTAAGGCGGTTGCTAACGGAGTGGCCAGCCTCAAGACGTACGCGGTGGGCTCCAAGGCAACGCCCTACTTGTGGAACGCTCGCCTTGGACATGTCCACTTCGATGCGGTGAAGTGGACAGCCACGAACGGTGGCGTGTTAGGCATGGACCTGGAGAAAGGAGGTGAGGATATGCCGTGCACCTCTTGCCATGAAGCCAACCCACTCGCGAATCATTTCCGCTGCACGACGAGCCAGAGGCGCAGGTTCTTGGGCTGGTTAATAATGACGTGTGCGATCCATTTCATACCCCAGCCGAGGATGGAAGCAGGTACTACATTCTGTTCACGGACCACGCCTCACGTTACACCTGGGGGAAGACGTTGAAGCTGAAGAGCGACGCGCTTGCTGCCTTCAAGGAATGGCTTCCCGAAGCTGAACGCCAAACCGGGATGACGCTGAAGGTGTTGCGGTCGGACCGGGGAGGGGAGTTTATGTGGAATGAGTTTTTTTTGCCGCTAAAGCAACAAGATCTTGCGTCAACTTTTCTGCCCCTCAACCCCCCAGCAGAACGGTGTGGCTGAACGCCGCAACCGTACGGTAACCGAGGGCATACGTGTGATGCTGGGGCACACGGGGGTGAAAGCACACTGGTGGCACTTCACTTTCCAGCGGTTCTTGTGGGTGGTAAACCGTGTGCAATCCACCCTGCCTCATGGTGTGACCCCTCATTTGGTGGTGTTCAAAGTCAAGCCCGATGTGTCCATGGTCCGTGTGTTTAGGTGCATGGTGCAATACCTCGTTCCTAAGCATGAGCGTGGGGAAGCTTGCAAGCAAGACTCGTTGGGGCATGCACTTGGGCATGAGCTTGGAAAGCAAGGGATGGCGTGTTGTTGATGTTGAGTCAAAGCGCATGGTCATCACCCGGGATGCACGTTTTTATGAGGACATGTCACTTGAACGGTGGCAGAAGTGGTGTGCACGCGTGGGTGATGGGAATGACCAGCCCACACCACCCTTTGCTTCAGTCCCATCTCTCTTTCCTGAACCCCACGACCCCGAGCAGAATCCGCCGCCACCACGTACCGTCATTGTGGTCCCAGTGTTGTCCGTGCAAGGGGGCGAGCAACCCCTTGATCGCTCGGTGGGCCCTTTGAGCAGCAAGGCACCTACTGCACATCCTCCTCCTAGTCCACCCTCCGTTGCTGATTCAGCGCTCGTGGGACCAGAGGATGGTCCTGTGGAGGTTGGCACCAGCATGGTTGATCACGAGGAAGAAGAAGAAGAAGTAGCAGTGGATGAGCAGTCACCAATGGCCCATAAGCATGAGCCTTTACCTGCAGTTCCCCCCATCCAGCCCATTCCACCACCCCCGCGTTGCTCCAGCAGGCCTAACAAGGGGGTGCCACCCGTACGGTTTCAACCATCAGCCATGATGGCCCAGGATGCGGACTATGAGGACAACCCGTACGACGTGGCATACTTTGCTGAGGACGATTGCGACACGGACAGCGATGACGAAGTGGAGTACTCGGACGAGGATGAGGAGGAGGAAGGCGCTTGGGGAGGTGTCACCCTCGACCTGGCAGGTGCGTTGACCGGACCTGAAGGCAAGGAATGGTGGGCTGCTATGAAGGAGGAGATGGAGATCCTTGAGGAGCAAGGCACTTAGACGTTGGCTGACCTACCGGAAGGTCGCAAAAGTGTCGGCGTCAATTGCCTGCTGAAGAAGAAGCCGCGACCTGGCGGTACCGTGGATAAGTACAAGGCCAGGCTCGTGGCAAAGGGATTCAGCCAGCGCTTCAGCATCAACTACAACGACACCTATGCTCCGGTTGGCAGCTACTCCACCGTTCACGTGCTCCTCTCAATCGCAGCAGCTATGGACCTGGATTTGCTGTAGCTTGATGTGAAGAATGCATTTCTTCACGACTCCATTGACCACGAGATCTTCATGCAGCAGCCGCCCTACTTCACCGACGGTAGCAATAAGGTGTGCCTCCTGTAGAAGAGTCTTTACAGGCTGAATCAGAGTCCCCTTCTGTGGTACAAGGAGCTGGACAAGATGCTTCTTGTTGACGGGTACAAGAAGAGCCTTATGGACCAGGCCCTATATTACAAGGATGGGGCGAGTGTGAAGCTCGTGTAGCTGCTTATCTACGTGGATGACCTTCTAGCAGAAAGTGAAGACTAGCACCTGCTGCAGGACCTGAAGGAGCTGCTGGCTAAGGCGTTTTAGCTCCGTGAGGTGGAGCCAGTGGAGCGCTACCCGTGGCTGCATATTGTGCGTGATCGCCCCAACAGGACACTTCTCCTGCACCAGAATGCATACGTGGCGAAGGTGCAGCAGCGGTTCTTCAAGGGGGCGCCACCAAAGAAGCAACCAATCACTCCTCTCTCCTCTGCCAGCTTTGCCAAGCAGGATGCCGGGCAGTTTGCCAACCGTACCATGACCGAGTACTTGTCGATTCTCGGCATGGTGCAGTTTGCAACCATCTCAACCCGTCCTGACCTCTGTTTTGCGTGCAACCGCCTTGCAGCAGGTGCACACCTCAGGTCGGATGCGCATTGGCATGAGCTCTTCCGCACACTCTCCTACTGGGCTGCCTCACCAGACATGGGGCTGCTGTTCATGTTTGATACACATCATTCTGAGTGCATGTCATCCTAGCGTCCTGCCGAGTGCTCGTGCTATTTGTGCTTGCATGGTTTGCATGAGCATATGTCATTGTGCATGGCTGTTGGATATTATCATCTCTGTGTTTTTCTCCAAGTTTAAATGCTTGACCATGCAAGAGAAATCCAGAGGTTTCCATCAATACCAAGATCGCCTTATTCCGACCAAGATCGCCCAAGTTACAAGATTTCCAAGCTTTGGGAATTCTATCTCGTTTTGAGATATTATCTGCATTGGGTGATTATTGGGTCATGACTATAAAGGGATCTTTGGTTGGGTGGTTAGGAAGGCAACCTTGACTTTTGGATTGGGGTGGCTAGAAGTTTCTAGCATGGGTTGCAAATATTGCAATACATAGGCAAAATCCAACTAGATTGGATTTTGCATATGACACCTTAAGGACCTCATGATGAGGGTTGCATCCTTGCTGCTAGAAAGATTCATACCATCCTTTCGTAGCTCTTGGAGAACCCCTTCCCTCTCATGGTTCTCTTGGAGTCCCTAACTCAAACCATTCAATACCTTCATGCTTGTACTTCCTCCATCATTCTCGTCATGCGGCTGCTGGACGTTTTCAATTGTTTCTCACTCTCTAGACCATATTTCTAAGTGATTCAAGTTGGATATGGTAACTGAGCTTATGGCGCACAATCCTACTGAGCGGATTTGCGTTTAGTTGAATAATGATTTCGTCGTAAGTTCTCGAAATGACGGATCCTGAACAACAAGTGGTATTAGAGCGGATAGTCGACTTTGAGACAACGAATTGTCGTGAATTCTCCACCAATATTGACGCGCAAGACTATTTTCTAGTAGCTCTGCTTGCGGCCTTGCGATTGGTGGTCAAACCGCGTTCTAGTTCCAAGTATCCAGTCCGCGACGACGATTTTCGTAGAATCAATTTTTTTGGCAGAGTTCTCTCCAAACGATTTCTCAAGTTTCCACCGTTCATAAGGCCTCAATATGACTGGAACTGACTCTAGAGGTGCTAATGGCAAGATGGCTAGAGCTAGAGAGGCTGGAGAGCAGGGGGGAGTTGCTGGTGGTGGAGTGGGGACGCACCAACCAGTCAACCCTACGCTACCTACTTCTACACCATCTCCTACTACCGTGGATCCTGTGAAGTCTTTCTCTATTGAGAAATTCATGGGGGAGGACTATGAGCACTGGAGCTTCCGCATGAGGCTGATTTACCCCCAATACAAGCTATTGGACTTGGTTGAGGGGAAGGAGAAGATGCCGGAGGCCGCGGAGCTGAAAGGAGCGTGGATGAAGCGATCGTTCGACGCGTACATGCTCATGATGCAAGCGGTTGGCGGACGGCAACTTGACCACATGAAGGACCTCTTGGGTGACCCAGAGTGTGGCCCTAAGGCTTAGAGGAAGCTTCTGGATGTGCACTCACTGACACACGCTACCGGCATTGTGCTACTCGCGCGGCGGCTGCGCGACATCAAGTTCGTTGATGGAGAGCCGATGCAACCGGTGTTGGACGAGATGCGCGACATCTTCACGAAGCTCCAAGGCGGCGGTGTGGTGTACCCGGAGCTCGTGCAATGCGTGGAGATTGTGATACGGCTGCCAGAGTCATGGTCTGCCCTTGCGATCAACCTCAACTCTCAACAGCCACAGTGGAGCATGGATTACATTCGCGCGCACATCTTAGAGGAGGACTTGCGGCGGCGGAGTGTGGAGCGCTCGGAGGAAGGGGCTGGCTATGGAGTTGGAGGTGGAAAGAGTGGCTTCAAGAAGAAGTGGAAGGGCAAGAACAAGGACAACCCTAAGGAGGATGGCGGTGGGGGTCAAGGGGAGGTGTGCTAGTACTGCAAGAAGCGCGGACATCGCTGGCGGCAGTGCTACCAACGACCCAAGGATTGGACCCCCCCTTCATCAAGCAACCAGCATGGTGGCAAGAGGAGTGGGAGGAGTCATGGGAGCTAGTGGAGAGAAGGATGTGGAGAACGGCGCAAAATCTGAGGAGTGGAAGGTCGGGTTCTTCTTCTTCGTGAACGAAGGCGCAACCGACCTTGCTATGGCTGCCGAGGTTCTCCTACACCCCCTCACCCATTGGGTGATTGATTTTGGGAGCTCTTGGCACATGACTCCTCGTGCGGACCTACTCGTGAGATTCAGGATAGGCGCCATTGGAGGTGGTGCACATGGACCTGGTGGGTCCTATGAGGATTGAGGGGACTGGGGGAGTGCTGTACTTCCTCATCATGGTGGACGAATGGAGCCGTTTCACATGGGCAGGCCCCTTGTCCAAGAAGAGCGATGCTGCAGCGGCGATGAAGGAGGATTGGTTGCCGATGGTGGAGCGGCAAGCGATGCGGCTGGTGAAGGTGCTGAGGAGCGACCGAGGTGGAGAGTTCCTTGGAGCGGACTTCACCAAGTTCCTCAAGAGGAACGGCATTTGACACCAACTGACCTGCCCTGGAACACCGCAGCAGAACGGCATAGCTGAGCGTGCCAACCGGACCATTGGCGAGGCGGCTAAGACCTTGTTGGGGGCTGCTGGGATGCCCTACAAATTCTGGACTGAAGCTGTTTGCCATGTCATCACGGTCAAGAACAGGGTCTTGACGCATGTTGGCGACAAGCACTGGGTGCCGTCCGAGCGTTGGCTTGGGAGGAAGTCATCCATTGACATGTTGCGGGTGTGGGGCTGCATGGGGCTTGTGATGGTGCCTAAAGAGCAGAGGCAAAAGCTGGAAGTTGCTGCTGTGTGGGCTGTCCATCTTGGGATGGCTCCTAACTCAAAGGGGTGGCTGATGTGGGACCCCAAGAGCAAGAAGACGTTGGTCAGCCGTGACGTCAAGTTTGTGGAGGACGTCATGTACAAGGACTGGCAGCAGCAGCAGCAGGTGCAGATTGGCTTGCGTCTGCAGAAGTTTGAGCTGTCTGCAGTGGAGGAGGTTCAGCTGCACCTTGATGATCTCCACGGGTCAGAGCTGACCAGTGACCACAGTGGCGGTGGCAGCAAGTTTCTGGTCCTACTGCGGAGGAGGGGTCGGAGGATGAGTCGGCACGTGTGGACTCACCAACTCAGCCCGAGCTTGCTGCAAACGCCAAGGTCACCAAGAGGAGTGTGCAGAGAGGAGCTTCACCACATGGGCAGCAGACTGCAACTCGCGAGAAGAGAGTGGCAGCAGCACCTTCAAGGCTGAAGTATAGCCGTTTGGGAGGACCCAAGCAAGGTGCCATGGCGGTTCAAGCAGATGAGGGAGATGATGAGGAGATGGCCTTCTGTTTCTTCACACTCCTGCCTGGAGAACCAGCCACATTGGAGGAGGCACTGAGTGGACCCCAGAAGGAGGAGTGGAAGGCTCCCATGGATACAGAGTTCAACTGTCTCATTGAGAATGGGACTTGGGAGCTTGTTGAGTTACCCGAGGGGTGACGACCAATTAGCAGCAAGTGGGTCTTCAAGGTGAAGAGTGGTGATGATGGTGCGCTGGAGCGGTTCAAGAGCCACTTGGTCGCCAAGGGGTTTCAGCAGAAAGAGAAGGTTGACTTCAAGGAGATATTCGCTCCCGTTGTTAAGCTAGTGACTTTGAGGAATGCACTTACTGGCACCGCTGTGAAGGCATGGAATGTGAAGCAGATGGATATCACCACTGCGTTCCTAAATGGAATTCTGCTGGAGGATATCTTCATGGCGCAGCCCGAAGGCTATGAGGATGGGACCAGCCGGTTGTGCAAACTCAAGAAGGCTATCTATGGCCTTAAGCAAGCGCCCAGGTTCTGGTACGAGAAGCTGTAGGAGGTGCTGCTAAGTGGAGGCTTCAAGATGTCCCAAGCGGATCACAGCTTGTTTTTGCTTGGAGAGGGGGAGCAGCTGCTCTTGCTGCTGGTGTATGTCGACGACATACTGCTGTTCTCACCTTCCATGGAGCAGATTGAGAGGACACAGAAGCTGCTGATGGACAACTTCAAGTGCAAGATGCTGGGGGATGTCCACTACTACTTGGGCCTGCAGGTTGAGAGGGATGTTGAGAGGAGGTGGCTGAAGGTGCATCAGTCACACTACATGTCTGGTGTCATGGAGTGCTATGGTGTGACTTGGGGTCGCACTGTGATGACACCGTTTCCTGCGGGCTTTAAACTGAAGAAGGCAGCTGAGGAGGATGATGTACTCAAGGATGAGCAGTAGAATGAGTACCAGTCACTCATTGGGAGTGTGATGTATGCAGCTGAGCATACGCGACTTGATGCTTCATTTGGAGTGGGGCAGCTGGCCAGACTTGTGCAGCGGCCCACTGAGGAGCAGTTGGAGGTGGCAAAGCGCTTGGTGCGCTACCTCGGATCAACGGCATCTGCTGGTGTTCAGTTTTCAGCTGGCAGGCAGCTGAAACAGATTGGAGTAGATGGGATCACGCCTGGAACCTTGAAGCTGCCATGCTTCACAGACGCTACATGGGTCTCAGAGGAGGAGGATCAGTCATCAGTTGGCGGCTTTGTGTGCATGGTCGGAGGTGGACCAGTGAGCTAGAGGTCCAAAAAGCAGAGTGAGATTGCTCAGTCTTTTGGAGAGGCAGAGTCTATGGCAATGTACCATGCTATCAAGGAGATCGTGCCCCTGAGGAAGCTGGTGGAGGACATGGGAGCTCAACAGGAGGGACCTACACCACTTTTCTCCGATAGCGAGGCTGCTATTGGCATGGCCAATAATCCTATGCTGAATGGGTTGAACAAACATATGAAGATTAAGTGGCATTGGGTGAGGCAGATGGTGAAGGAGGGGATTGTTGAGCTTCACCATGTGAAGGCTAGCAAGCAGGCCGCAGATTTTCTCACCAAGAGACTACCCGAGAGCGCACATTGGAAGTGTGCTAAGATGTGTGGCATGGCATTGCACTAGTGTGGGAAGCAGTGTCATACGAGCAGCTATGTGCAGCAGTACCCGAAGAGTGGTCATCTTCGGGGTGGGAGAGAAGGTCTGAAAGTAGTCAACTCCCTGCCGCTGACTGAAGCCACGAGCCACGTAACGCGCCTTGAAGACAGGCGGAGAACCCGGCTGCCGCTTCACCCTGAAAATCCACATGCCACTGACTATGTTCGCTCCAGGTGGGGGAACCGCGTCAACGTAGGTGCCTGTGGACTTCCAGGAAGCCATCTCTGCATCCATAGCTGCCTTCCACTGAGAGGAGTAGGGACCCTCTACGGCCTCCGCGTAAGAGCGCGGAGTTGGGATGTCAAGTGCATCCGGGTCTCCCTCACAGGTAAGCAGTACGGACACGAGATGAGGTGAAGCAGCAGCCAGACACTGGAACTCCTCCTGCCTGTCCTCAAGGACGTCCGTGCCAAGGGCACACTCACCCCCGACGGACGGAGGACAGACAGACTCAGACTCAGCAGCAAGACTGGCGGCGTAGTCTAGGCGACAGCGAGCAGCAAAGTCGACGAGCTCAGCAACTAGGGCAGACGCAGCAGTGGACTCAAAGGAAGGGTCAGTGACAACAGTAGCAAGGAGACGCGTGACAGTAGGACTGGCAGCACAAAGAGAGTCCGAGTCCGGGTCGGCAAGAGCAGGAAGAGAAGACTCAGGAGGAGAAGGTAAAGGGGCACGCAGAGGAGCAGTGGACGGACGCAGAGACATCCGGTGCATGCCAGGGACACGAGGAGGACGCTGAGGCGAACCGCGACCACTAGTGCGAGCAGCACGGACAGGCGACGCAGGGCGAGACGCAAGCTCACGACGCTCAGCAAGACCTCCAGTAGGACCAGTGTAGGGAGACGGAGCAGGAAGTGGGGAGGCCGGCTGTAACTGTAACTGTGACGGGACAGGCTGTGGACACTCTAAGGGAGGAGGAGGACCAGTAGAAGGCAGGAGACCAAGAACCTACTTAAGGAGCGGAACGAAGTACGGCCGAGGCCGCGCGGCGACTCCAGACACAGCAGGGACAGCACCAGCACTAGCAGCACCTCCAGCTCCAGTACCTCCAGCAGCACCAGTAGCACCTCCAGTAGGACCGCCTCCAGGACCGACAGCAGTAGCCTCCGCGCCAACACCCGCAGCAGCTCCAACTCCAGAAGTACCCGCAGGCCCAGCAGCTCCAGTACTCCCAGTACGAGCACCTCCGGGACCCGCGGCACCAGCACCCTCAGCAGCAGCAGAACCTCCAGTACCCGCAGCACCTCCAGCTCCAGCAGCTCGCCTCCAGCGCCGGGCAAACCACTCACGCAGCTCCTGTGGAGAGAGTGGCTCCCGACGAGACGAAGCACCCGGAGAACCGCCAGGCACAGCACCGCCAGACGCCACACGAGCATGCCCAGCTCTCTCAGGCTCAGTACCTCCAGGCTCAGCACCTCCACGCGTAGCACCCCCAGGCGTAGCACCCCCAGGCTCAGCACCCCCAGGCTCAGCACTCCCAGGATCAGCACCCCCAGGCTCAGCACCCCTAGGCTCAGCACCCCCAAGCTCAGCACCCCCAGGCTCAGCACCCCCAGGCTCAGCACCCCCAGGCTCAGCACCCCCAGCCGTAGCACCCACACGCTCAGCACCCCCAGAGTCAGCACCCCCAGGCTCAGCACCCTCAGCAGCACCAGAGTCACCAGCGACCTCGACAGGCTCAACAGCGTCTACTTGGGACACACCTGAAAGGGCAGGACCCTGAGGGGGGAGGGGGTATACCGGGGGGGGACCTTGCACAAGGAAGAGCGGTGGCGGGGGGAGGGACGGAGTGCGGTAGGGGAAGAGACGGTAGTAGGGGACCGACTCGTCGAACGTGACGTCCTGGGAGGACAGAACACGGCGAGAGGTGGGGTGGTAGAACTGCCACCCTGGCGCGTCAGGGGGGAAACCCAGGAAGACGCAGGGA